AAACAAAGAAGTACACTTATCATTTAATTTTTTTGGCAAATTATTTTAGTCCATTTAATTAACACACTAGATATGCCCCCCATCTAAAAACTGGAAAACGATCTTCTTTATTTTGTTTTCTTTTTCCTTTTTTCTATATATGCACATTTAGTTACGTTACGTATTTTTTGGAGACGATTGTTAAATGCGTCATTCTTTGGCTTACCAGGGCACCCACACACACATTAAACAACTTATAATTATCATCATCATATCTCTTAGATATATAATGATTCATGATTTCATGGTATTTTTTAAACATCATTAATTAGTCTTTTAATGATGTTTAGAAAACATTGTTTAACAACGTTTCATAAACATTGCCGTTTCCTCAATTTCTATATTAACAGTGCTACAAGGCACTGGTAGGATTGAGTACCATTTGTTAATAAAAAGTAGTTTCCGTACGAGACTCACAAGTTGGATCAACATTCTATTAATAATGGTGCTTAGTACTGGTAATGTTCCTAAGCATTTTTCTTTATGTATAGACTATATAAGATTAATAATGACACCAAAGTAAGCAATTGCGGTTGACGTTTGGTTAATGGATTCAGAATCATAATTCAGAACTATTCTTGATTTACGTGTGTTTTTTGTGAGAAAAAACACTGTAACGAACTACGAACCATAATTCGAATCATGATATGAATCCACTAACCAAACGCAGATCCAATACATTTTTTAAGGAAAGAGAATAAGAATCTTTTTGAACTAATACATTTTTTAAGGAAAGATAACACTAATTTGTGAAGTCAAACCATTCACAGAATTATGGAACGGAGTATTGTCAAACCAGTTTTTTTAAGCACATATGTAGAAATTGTCAAACTAATTAGGTTTTTTTTTTAAATATTGTCAGACTAGTGGAATTACTCGGACTTTGTCAAATTAGTGGCTTGTTCACACCCGTTATTACACATTCCCTTAGCAATTGGGTCTTAATTAAGTTGGTATCAACAGGCCGGTGAAGGCCATTAAAACTTATTCAGCATTTGTTTATCCAGAACCGGCCTATAATAAAGACCAAAAGAGCACAATATGCAATGAGGACTTCCTGAGAAGCTAATTAGTAGAGATGAATATTTTGTTTTATCCCTAATTAATGTGTCATTTACAAATGATCAATATTATAATTCATTTTTATCTTGATTTGTCTCTCTACGTGCGTTCTCATCAAGACCTCTGTATGCAAAGGAAAGAATTAGCTTCCCTGTCAAGACATGTACACAATTCATAGATTATATTGATACCATTCTTTTGTTTTTGAATGTGACTAATCATCATTAAGGTAACTTACGTTCCTTTTGTTTTAACTTGAATTGTTTGATCGGTTGGAAAACATAAGAGTGCATTTAGAATTGATTTTTGATTATTTTAAAAAACGAATCTGCATGTCTTTTGAGGCACGAAAAGAAAAATGGTATGCAAATCCTATTTGTTTAATAAATATTTTGAAAATAAAAAATAGTGAGAATGGTTTTTGTAAAGGAATTAGATAACAATTAAAAGTTATTTTTCTTTTTCTATTTTTATTTTCTAGTACTTATCTACAATATTATAATATATTAATTAATAATTATAATCAAATACAATTTCACTTTTTATTATACTCAAAACAATCTCTTAAAAAACTAACTAAATGTAATTTCAAAATTGATTTTAGAATAATTCTCAAAACAATCTCATTTTCACTTTTATATTAAAAATAAAATCATTTTAAAAATATTACTAAATGAGCCCAAACTTTCTTTTCTCTCCTTTTCTTTCACCTCTTAAAGAAAATAAATAAGTGAAACCAAACTGCTAGAGAGAACATTAAAGTCCTCTGCGAAAGTCTTGTTAGTGCGTTTATTTTTTTCCCTTAAATAAAATGGGAAAGTATCAGTAGTATGGTTCTGACTTCTGAGGGGCTTGCATTTATAGATGTAATTCGGATTATTTCATCTTAGGAGTCTTCTAAAAGTAGTATTGGGATTAGAAAAACGCACATGCTTAGTAATATCTTCATGCACGGTTCTAGCTCTCTTCTCAAGCTCAACCTGCCAAAAATTAGCAAATTGCTTTAGTTTTGAAGGAACCTGTTTCTCTTTGTTCATTTTTGCAAAACCATACTAGTGCTATTTGAGTAAGAAAGAGAGAAGAAAAACAGCAAATTAAAATAATAAGCAAATGTTTCAAGTGTATTCTTTGCAAAATAAGTTTAGCACATAGAGAAAGCTCATAATGAAAACCAGAAAAATATTCGCAGGCAATTAATTATCAGACAAAAATATAGAATATTTTCAAATAGGTCACTAATTGCAAATCCATGATCAAGTACTTAGACAGTTTCTGCTTTATAAAGTGCAACACAACTCGTGTATAATGGAACTTACAACAGGAATTTTGTTTAGCACACCACTTTCAATTTTTTCCTGCAAATCCTCACATTCTTCCTGCCAATAAAGCAGCGGGAAAGTATCAGTAGTATGGTTATATATATATATATATATATATATATGCGCTAAATATAGTTCAAAAAATAAGGGATAATATGCTTTCTTTAACTGTCAACTTTGTTTTAGGGAGAATATAATAAATGACAGATTATTTTAAAATTATTCAAATTAAATAATAATTTATCGTGTAAATATTTTATTTACCACGAATAAAAAGATTTTTTTCGTAAATAAAGATTTTTCATCATATAAATTGGTTTTTACCAGTATCATGACATTTAATTGACTGTTTGTTTTCAATCACGTTTTGTGCTAGGAAATTACGTAAGTTTCTATTGTAATCATTTTAAATTTGATGTCTATTTTTTTTTCATTTATTTTTATTATTAGAGATGAGGTCACTTGATTCCGTTTGATTGGATGGTGTGGTGGTGGAATTTTTGGAAGATGGTGATTAATCGTATGTTGGCGAGAACATGAACATTATCTTAATGCCTTTCGAAGACGTTCATGTTGGAAACTTGCCAAGCAATTTTTGATATCATCATTAAGATAATGATGTTTGCTATGCTTTTAAATTAGTACCAACAACCGGAAAAATCCAGTCGAGTAACTAATAAAGGATAAATATATATGTAAGGAACTTTTAATACCGCAAAATTTTTTTAAGAGATTTGATCTGTGCACCTTAAGATTAATATTGAATTAGTAATGTAATTACTCTTAGGTTATGTTTATAATTACAATATTTGTTTATTCTATGTTCTTAATTAAATGTGTGAGTTTATATAAGGAACACTCCTATTTAAATATACACTACGCATCTTAATAAATTTACTTTTTACGCACCCTATTGTTTTAAAATTAACCTTTAACTATTTCATTAGATTGTTAATACTTTAGTATTATCATTTTTTTTTTTTTGAAACTTTAGGCATGAAGCAGTTTCCCATACATGAAGAAAATTTAGTATCATATTTTTTTTGAAAAATAATAAAGAATATTACTGTAGAAAACGAGGAAACATTTGCACTTTTTTTAATTTTTCAAAATAATAAAGTCTATTTTGTTTTAATTTATGTGTTTCCCTTTATCAAGTAGTCAGTGACCCATAGGTGCTTCAAATCTTTTAAAAATCTAACATTTTATTTACGGAAGTACCAATGTTGCAACTTTTCATAAGCTCAAGGGCTAATTCTATGTCATTTTGAACAATAAAAACAAAGTGAGACAACTCCTATTTTTCGTGGGCTCAATTTGAAGTTAACCATGCACAAAAATTATTTATGTTTATAAAATAAGAATAAACCCTTGAATGGTTAAATTTGGATAAATACCAAGATTATCCTCATTAAAATTCATTGGTACATTTTAATCATTAAATATTATTCCAAACATTTATTAAAATAAATTAGCTAAAAAATATTAAGTAAAATAAAAAATTGTTTCAAAAATTTCTTTAAATAAACTGGTTAAAGAGAAATAAATCATCAATATTATTTTTTGTTTCAGTATTTGGTTTTTAAATAACTTTTAGACCATTTCCAAAAGCACGAAATAAACTTCATTTTTTTTTTTGAAGGAATGTGATATTTTAAGCACTTATATAATAAAAGAGGAAAAGTAGTATTTGACTAAACACATAGGGTATTTTTTAAACCCACATTTTAAGAAATTTTGTTGGCTCGGTTATACTTTCAAAACTATCATTATGTTGTGTTCATTATAAGTCCTAATTTTGCTATTAGTAAAATATTCTGAAATTTTTACTTTACTATTGTGATTTTTTGCTATATATGTCGAGATCATTCTGTCGTTAATTAATCTGAAATTTTTTATAAAACAAGTAAAGATCAGAGATAGAGATACATATTCAGCACCAACCCCACCTCCCGTGAACAAAAACACATTTGACCAATGACCAGGCAATAGTAATTAGCTGGATTATGACTGTCATATTGTAATATTATATACAAGTCAGATCTTATTACACGAACTACTAAATCGCATAAAACATGTTTTTAAATTTTTGTTAGGAACATGCAGGATTGGTATCAATTTTTTAACTGGTCATGTTGGCGCAATTCGCGTATAAGATAAGCACATTCATTAATATTTGAAGATAATAAAACACTCTAGCACTATGTTTTCCGATTCCACAAGTAATTATACATACATATTATATATACATACACACACAAAGTCAGTTCGGTTAGGTAGCAGTACGTGGACCAAAATAGAATTATCAACTAGTTGATCGCTAATTTATATGTGTAACCTAAAAATTGTGATGCTTTTTAACGATTTGGTGATTAAAAAAAATATGCGATGCTTGATTCGAGCAATATTCAACTATGTTAAGCATTCAAGAGTAGGTAGTATAAGAATGTATATGCCTATAAAAGGAGACAAGTTTGTGGAGCTTTGCTGTGAAGTACTACTAGATTATACATAAAATCCTGGCCATTTTTCTTGAACAGGCTAATTACACAGTATAATTATTTGGTTAATTATATAAGCATGAAACTTAAAGTTCTTATATTTGTCTGTTTAGTTCTGAGTAGCGTTGTGGGGTTTTCTCATGGGGGTAGCCTCGTAAAAAACTTCTACAAGAAAAGCTGTCGTCGTGCAGAAGCCATCGTAAAGGAGGTTACAGAGGAAAATGTGGCCAATAATCCCAATTTACCCGCAAAGTTGCTAAGAATGCATTTCCATGACTGCTTTGTTAGGGTACGTGTAAAGCCATTTTCAAGTATATGAAGTAGTTAATTTCATTTTATGCATATATATATATATATATATGTATGTATGTATGTATATGTGTGTATGTGTGTTTGCGTGTAGTTATTTTTTTCTACGTATGTTTGCACGTACGTGTTCTGTGTACGCACGAGTGCATAAATATGTATGTATATACACAAATTACTCAGGTACTCGTACGTTACGTGAGCACATACACCAATATATGTGTGTGTGTGTGATTACTAGCTTGTTCTGTTGATAAATATATTTTTTCTTAATTGAAAAACAAATTAAAGGGGACAATTACTAGCATCAAGAGTAAGAAGGAAGTAAATTCAACTTAGATTTAGCCTCCTCTAAATACCCTTCATCCGTTAAGCTCCCAATCAAATTAAATTAAAATACAAAATATACAAAATCCAGTCACTGCCCAAAAGCAAAGAAAAATTAAATAGAAGGAACACAACCTGAAAATAAAATTTTAATCTGTTCATATGTGTTTCGTGAAAGTATGAGAGTTATATATATTGAATATATGTTACATTACGCTTTTTAATTCTATATAAATGTTATGTGGAAATATGGTTGTTTCAAAAAGAACCGTAGATAAGTCCTATATATTATTTTTAAATAGCGATCTATTTGACCTTAAAAGGATCAAACGTGAAAACTAAACACCAAGACAAATGGTGAAAAACTATTTTTTCAGGGATGCGATGGATCGGTTCTGCTAAGCTCGACGGAGAGTAACACAGCGGAAAAGGACGCAGTTCCAAACCAATCATTGGCAGGTTTCGACGTGATTGATGCCATCAAAGAAAAGGTTGAGAAGGAATGTCCAGGAATCGTTTCTTGTGCTGATATTCTTGCCTTGGCAGCTAGAGACTCCGTTACCTACAAAGTAATTAATAATTATATGATTAGTCAATATATTAACCAAAAGTTCTATTGATGAGATTCCAAATTAATTAATTAGCAATACGTATGTAAGCAAGTACGTATTTATGATGATCTACTTTCCATTAATTAATTAATTAGCAAGTACGTATTTATTAATTAGTAATTAATTTTCAGTTTAAGAAACCCACGTGGGATGTGCTTACGGGAAGAAGAGATGGCACGGTATCACTAATCAGTGAGGCATTGCTCAATATTCCAAGTCCTTCCTCCAACTTCACCAAACTTAAAAACACTTTTGCCCGTAAAGGTCTCAATGTCCACCACCTTGTGGTACTATCAGGTATAGTGATATATTATGAATTTAGAGCATTAATGCTCGGGATACCATCGATATCCAGCACCAAACGTTAATAAAAAATGAGATTTATGAGACGTTTAGATAAAACTAATTCACGCTCTATTAGTTGTAATGCTCAGCATCAGTAGCGCGTTCTCAATTATTTTCCTTTAACTTGAGCTCCTTTATATAGTTTTCACTCTTTTCTTTTCTAATTTCTTTTGATAAAATGGACTGGTAAGCCAAATTACAAAACCATGAATTTTGTCCTTTTACTGTTTATCAAAAGACTAAATATATTGGGGAAAAAGAGTAATTGTAGCTTCCAGCAATGAGTATTTCTAAAAAGGTTAGCAGTAGTTAGATAGATTATTTACCGTTACACATGCAGTTATTCTTTCTAGTTGATTGATGTATATTCTAATATAATATGACATAGTCTAATATTTTAGAAACCTATCATCCGATTATTAGTCCCATTAATTAGAAACATGCAATACAACTACAATATTATATGCTAGCTCCTTTATATTTAAATCTCTGATGCTTATTCCATTTTTGACAATTTCCATGTCAATATCTTGACCAACAAATATTTTTGTATTTTTCTAATTCCCTTATCCCAACATATTGTTAAATCTAATGTACTTTAAAATGTCAACAAAAAAAGCAAAAGAAAAAAAAATTAGGGAATCAGATTTTCACTAGAAATCAAATTACGAAATAGAAAACTCACTTGAATAATTATATAACAATATTCGTATAGGAGGTCACACAATAGGAGTAGCGCATTGCAATTTCTTCAGCGACAGGCTCTACAACTTCACAGGAAAAGGCGATCAGGACCCTTCCTTGGACTCGAACTACGCGGAATTCTTGAAGAGCAAATGCTCTCCTAATGACGCAGGAGCGACAACCGTTGAAATAGACAATAACAGCTCCCTCGACTTCGACACCAACTTCTACAAGATCCTTAAAGAGAACAAGGGTCTATTCCAGTCCGACGCGGCGCTTCTAACAAACAAAGTCGCTCGCAACACCGTCGGGGAGTTGGTCGACCGCGACACCTTCTTCAAGGAGTTTGCTCAATCCATGAAGACGATGGGAGCTATTGAGGTCCTTACCGGCACGGCTGGTGAGATTAGGAACAAGTGTTCGGCTGTCAATTCTTGATCCAAGGAGTAGTAGCACTCTTTCTTGCGTTGTTGGGTTGTGATTTTCATGTAATCCGGTAATTTGGTGATATAAAAAAAAAAGTTTAATAGAAATCAGTTTGGTTCTTGTTTAAGCTTAACCGTTGTTGTGTTTGTTGTAGAAAAGAAAATCGGACGGAGATTTCTGGTACATGTGATGTATGGACTTTGTGGGCTTATTAATTATTATCTTAGAGAAAGATATATATATCCCTAATTTCCACAAGTTATCGCACGCTTTTGTCGATTTCAAAAAATAAATGGAAAATGGGCAAACCGTTATGGGCGCGTTTGAAATTCGTTCGAAAAAGATTTTATTTTTTGTATCAAAATAAAAATAAAAACGTTTTCATTCTCAAAGAGAAATTATTTTTAAAAATGCGTTTAGTAATTTTATCAAGATATTATTTTCAGTATAAAAAAACCTATTAATGTCTCTGTCTCTTTTTCTCTGCTCGAGAGATGAGAAAACGAAAATAAAAAATGAAAAATGATTAAAAGTCGTTTTCATTTCTCTCTCATTTTACACTAAACCAAATAATCATTTTCATTTCTGTTTTTTTGTTTTCACTGCGTCAAACGCCGTTTTGAAAACGTTTTCATTTTTTCTTTCTTGAAAAACGTGAAAAATAAAAACGAAATTAATTTCAAACACGGCCTATAATTTTCAGTTTTAAAAAAATTTCTAATACCGTGGAAAAAGAAATGAGGTAATTAGGTGGGATGCCACTACTTCTTGGTGTGGATTGATTTTTTGCCACAAGGATAAAAGGATCATTTTAGGATACTAGGCGGTTATTGATCGGCTATCAACGGTTGCGAAATTATTTATATTGCGGTGAGACAACTTGTTCTGGTAGGATAACGGTGGTATTGGGAGGCTGTTGCCCAATTGCCAAATTTTTAGTTTCACGGTAGAATACCTTTTAAGTATCATCATGGTAGGATATCCACAATAACTGAGTGGTTATCGCCACTCCTTTACTCCGACGATATCTAGGATTCTTCAAACAATGTGATATCACATATTGAGTAAATCCTTAACCCTTCTCTCTAATACTTAAAGACTATAAAATGTTCTTGTAAATTACGATCAATATCATGTATATAAGCAGCGATTTCAAATTTAGAGGCGTACACTGTCAGCTTAACGTAATGTATAGTTTTGTTTTTTTGAGAGTGATAGTGGAAAAGTTAGAGAAAAAAGTCACCATTACTGTTACTCTCTACAGAACTGTGAATGAGATTTTTCATCTCACATGTCTCCTTGTTCAATTAGTTTGAAGTCATTGGATCCTTTTCTTCGTTTGAGAAGCTTTTCCCTTCTTTCACTCCATTCTTGAAGAGTAATTAGGATAAATTATTTTCATTCATTATGAATGTGGGCTCTTATAATTCTTTATTTACTTTACTTTTTTGTTTTATTACTTTTCCCTCTTTTCTTTTCTATTTCCTTCCTTTCCATCATTCCTTAAGTGCTATAAGTTTGATCATGTAGAATTTAACTCATTTTCTCATTGAGCCAAAGGTACAAAATAAATCAGATTGATTGTTTTTTTTTTTTTTTTTTTATCAAAAGTACTCCCATATTTTTGTATTATATAATTACGGCTATATTTGGACGTATTTTTAATTTGGTGACAAGACATTCTCTTCAAGAATTTTTTTTAGAAATCTTGACAAATATTTTTTAAAGTGTATGGATTTTGATTTTTTACCCCTTTCATTTAATTAATACCTTTTTTAGTCAAGTGACTGTACTAATAAAAGGGTATTAACCAAAAGTAACGGATAAAAATTCATATCTATACACTTTAAGAGTAAGTTTAACAATTTTCTCTATTCTCAAAACCACCCTTATTTCTTTTCGTTACAAAAAAAACATTATTCCTCTTCCCCCACGAAAAATAAAGGCCATGTTTGGAATTGATTTTGTTTTTGTTTTTCACATTTTTTGAGAAAGAAAAAATGAAAACGTTTTCAAAACGGTATTTAGCACAATAAAGATAAAAAACAGAAAATGAAAATAATTTTTTGGTTTAGTGTAAAATGAGAGAGAAATGAAAAATGACTTTTAGTCGTTTTTCATTTTCTGTTTTCGTTTTCTCCTCTCTCAAACAGAGAAAGAAAGATAGACATTAATGAGTTTTTTTACACTGAAAATAATCTCTTGATAAAACTACCAAACGCATTTTCAAAAATAATTTTTGTTTGAGATTGAAAACTTTTGCATTTTCATTTTCATATAAAAAATAAAATTATTTTAAAACGAGTTCTAAACGTACCTAAAAATTTAAATCGCAATTTCACAATTGCACTACCGATCAAGTAGAGCAAGAGTAAAAAGTATGCCAAACAAAGGAAAAAAAAAACAACATGCATATCAGAGGAACAACCAATGCATTGCATTAATTCTCTTTAACTAATGAATGTACCCGTTTAATACTCTCTTCTTTTTGTTTTTTAGTTTCTTCCCCTTTAGAAGACGTTTGGTGAGGGGATTTATATTATGATTTGAATCATAATTCATGGTTCGCTACAGTATTTTCTCTCATAAAAAATACACGTAAATTAAAAATAATTTTAATCTCATAATTCTAATCCATAAACCAAACGTCTCTTTAGTGTTTTCTTTTAAAATTGCGTCCCTCTTAACTTAAAAAAAAAAAACCCCTGAGAACATCTTTTAACTTAGGTGACTAGCGATCGATTTGCTGATTCGAGTTGAGATGTGATTTTATGTGAGAGCTTTTTACTTTAGCAAAAAAGTTAGATGTGACTGTTTGTGAGAGATTTTTACTGTAGCAAAACTCAAATTCTAAACTTGAATCAGCGAAACGAACGAGGCCTTAGTCTGCAGCAAAACGAGGAAAAAGAAAAAGGCGTCGACAGCAGGATTCGAACCTGCGCAGCGAAGCCCAACAGATTTCGAGTCTGTCTCCTTAACCACTCGGACATATCGACTTTGATATGTGCAACTGATATCTATACCTTATATCAATTGAAGCCACTATGTTATAAGTTGTAACGAAATTTTGTAATGTATTCAACCATAAAAAACAAAGATTTTTGTAATTTACCTTGAACCCAAAAAAAAAAAAAAAAAAAAAAAACAGAGAGAGAGAGAGAGAGATTTACTTGGTCGAACTTATTTTTAAATGAGTAAATAAAACTTAATATAGTAGTAATATTCAACCTATAATGACAATAATAATATCAAGTTGTAATTATCCTCTAAAATGTATGTTAAAAAAAAATATATATATATATATATATATCCTCTTAAATGTCATGTTTCATCAATTCTTTTTTTAAAAAATAAAAATTATCCCTTTCTTCTTTTGATTTTTTTTTTCAAATTTTAATTCTTCTTGATAGGGCTGTACATAAACCCAAACAACCTGTAAACCCAACCCACCCACCCCAACCCAACTCAAAAAAAGCAATTTGTAGCATCATTTTTTATTTTTTGGCCCACTAAATGTCTAGCCCGATGTGTTTGGAGCAATTTATAAGTTGGGCTTATAATAGCCCGCATACCCCAACCCAACCCGCACAAACATGACCTCCTCTAATATCTAACCCTAGGCAACTCAGTTATACTCTCTTCACTCTTTAGCCGCAGTCTTTCCTCGACCAGAATGTTTTCACTCTTCAATCCTTCTTCAACCAGTCGACCTAGTCACCTAGACCTTTGAGCTCTCCGGCACCGGCGGCTTTTCTCTGCCTCTTCGCCTCTCCACTCGGCTCTCTATGCCTCTCCTCTCAGCTCTCTGCCTCTGCTCTCGGCTCTCTGATGATGAACTTTGAATGTTAGAGTTATTATTTTTATTTGATGATAAACTTTGAATGTTTGATTGAACTTTATTCTTTGAATGTTGAAACTGACCACCCAACCTACCTCGTACAACCCCAACCCAACTCAAATATCATTGGGTTTTGAAATTTTTTTAACATCATTAGGATTAAATATGTACAACTCACACTCTTTAGGACAGAGCAAAAAAAAATCATATACCGCACCAACATAACCCATGTACACAGCCTTGAAATTGCTACTTTAATTTAAGAAGCCGAGTATTACTAAGATATATAGTAAAGATATCTACGAAGTAGTCTTAGCACTCCATTCGAAATTGTAGAAAGCAAAAAATTATCAGAACAAACGAACGTGTAGGTTGTATATAGCTCTTTGAAAAAAAAAAACAAAAAAACAAAACAAAACAAAAGAAAGAAAAAGAAAGAAAAGTTGTAGCTCTTAGATAAAGATAAATGGTAACACTAATAATAGCCAATGAGATATAGATAATGGCATGTGCAACTGTATAAGTATCGCATTTAGTATCAATTTTAATTATTTTTTTAATTTTTGAAATTTTACCTTCATATACGTGTGTGTGTATATATATGTTATATGTATATGTGTGTGTTGGGAATATCCCACGCACAATTTAAGATCATGATAACTAATTGAAGTCTGCTTCACCATTTAGGACCCTTTTCTTTACAAACTCCGACTTCCGCAAGAAGTCAAGGACTTCCCTAAGAGAAAAGCAAGCGACGATAACAATGGCTTCCGAGCAAAATCAGGGCTTAAATTTCAACGCCATGGACGCTGCGAAACTGCAGTGGTACCACTTGAAGGCCGTGGTGGTCACCGGAATGGGCTTCTTCACCGACGCCTACGATCTTTTCTGCATCTCCCTCGTCACCAAACTCCTCGGCCGCATTTATTATCACGTCGACGGGTCACCGAAACCCGGAAGCCTTCCTCCCAACGTCGCCGCCGCCGTTAATGGCGTCGCTCTCTGCGGGACTCTGGCGGGGCAGCTCTTCTTCGGTTGGCTCGGCGATAAGCTCGGCCGTAAACGCGTCTATGGGGTCACTCTCCTCCTCATGGTCGCCGCCTCCATCGGCTCCGGCCTCTCGTTTGGTAAGACCCCCGAGACCGTCATGACCACTCTCTGTTTCTTCCGCTTCTGGCTCGGCTTCGGCATCGGCGGAGACTACCCTCTCTCCGCCACCATCATGGCCGAGTACTCCAGCAAAAGCTCCCGTGGCGCTTTCATAGCCGCGGTCTTCGCCATGCAGGGTTTTGGTATTCTCGCCGGTGGCGGGGTCGCCATTCTAGTCTCACATATTTTCCAGAGCGTTTTTCCAGCGCCGGCGTACTCTGTTAACCCAACTATGTCGACCGTTCCGCAAGCCGATTATGTTTGGAGGATTATTCTGATGGTTGGCGCTTTTCCGGCTGTGTTGACGTACTACTGGAGGATGACCTTGCCTGAGACTCCTCGGTACACGGCTTTGGTCGCCAACAACGCCAATAAAGCTTCTCAAGACATGTCCAGAGTTCTCAACGTTGAAATCCGTATCGATGATAATAATAATAATAATATCCCAAACGCAGTTGCGAACAATAAGAGTGATAATAATCATAGCTCTTCGTTTGGAATGTTCTCTAAGGAATTTCTTCGCCGTCATGGGCTTCACTTGCTGGGAACAGCGATGGCGTGGTTCTTCGTGGATGTCGCATACTACAGTCAAAATCTCTTCCAAAAAGACATATTCAGCGCCGTCGGATGGCTTCCAGCGGCGAACACCATGAGCGCTCTCGACGAGCTCTTCAAGATCGCTCGCGCACAGTTCTTGATAGCTCTCTGCGGGACAGTCCCAGGCTACTGGTTCACCGTCGCCCTCATCGACTACATCGGCCGCTTTGCCATTCAGATGCTTGGCTTCTTCTTCATGACCGTCTTCATGTTCGCCCTCGCCATTCCTTACCACCACTGGACAATGCCCGGAAACCACGTCGGCTTCGTTGTGATGTACGGACTCACATTCTTCTTCGCCAACTTCGGCCCCAATGCGACCACCTTCATCGTGCCGGCGGAGATATTTCCGGCGAGGTTCAGGTCGACATGTCACGGGATATCAGCGGCTGCAGGGAAGGCGGGAGCAATAGTGGGGGCATTGGGGTTTTTGTATGCAGCGCAGAATCAGAATCCGGCGAAGACGGACGCAGGTTATCCGGCGGGGATTGGAATGAAGAATTCACTGTTAGTGCTTGGAGTGATTAATCTGTTTGGATTGGTTTTCACGTTTCTTGTGCCGGAGTCCAAAGGGAAATCGCTGGAGGAGATGTCTGGGGATCAGATTCAACAAGATGCTGCTAATATTCATCATCAACAACAAACCGAAGCTGATTCGTCTACTATGATTTAAAATTAGAGCTTTAGTTTTTATTTCTATTTTTTATTTATTTGTCATGTTTTATTCTTTAGATAGATTCCGTTATAGGGTTCGTGGAAAAGGGAAAACTTCTTATTTTGTTTATGATATATTGATATGTTTAACTTCTTAGGTGATCATATATATATATATATATATATATATATTCTTCTTTTTTTATAATTAAATTCATACTATATATTTTCTTAATTCTACCAGTTATTTTCTTTTAAATAAAGACAACAATTTAATTCATCTGAATATAATATAACAAAAAAGCCGTTATAATTAGAAAAACAAATAATATAACACATTCTCATTTTAAATAGCGTATTTTTTAAATGATAGTAAATTATAGTATATTTTCATTTTACTTTTAAAATAGAAATTTTCATTTCTAATTTTACACTCTACCGATTCTCCCCCTCATATTTCTTTTCTTCCTCAATCTTCACGACAACAACTCAGTCATTACTTTTCTCTCTCCTCTATCTGCCCAGCCTTCTATCTCTCCTCGCGCCACCGGAGTTAGGCCAGAGAACGTTGCACAAACGCCGCGACAGATAGCTCTACTCCGGTACGAGTTCGAGTTCTGATCCGGCGCCAGCGAAGACGACGTGTCCTAAACCGGAGAAGACAATGAGGTGTGCCTGGGATCTCCAGATCTGAGATCGCGCGACGTGTGACGGCTCTCTCTCTCACCTTTCGGCCAAAAATCGCTGTTTGCCGCGTCTGACAACGGCGAAGTCACTTCGAGCACTGCGAATGCATGCCGAGGTCTGGTGGATCTGTTGTTGCAGGCTTTGCAGTGGCGATTACAGACGGTGACGGCGATGGCGATCGCCAAATCCGTTACCGGTCGTGGTTTTGCTTCTCCGCGCGACGATCAGAGTCCGTCGGCGTTTTGTGAAATAATTTTTCATCTGTATTTTTACAGATCTGATTTGTAGTTCTTGTTCTGAGATTTTGATTTTGTATGGATCTGATTTTTATAGTTTCAAAAATTTTTGTTCGCATTTGTTTATGTCTCGAGATTAGAAAAAAAAAAATTCTGAGGTTTGAGAATTTATGGATACAATATTTTTTTAGTAATTACGATATTCATAGATAAATACGGTATTTATCTCGCTTCAACGGTTAAATTTTGAGGGCTCGTTCATTTACGGATTCGAGTTTTTAATTTGAGTTGAGATGTGATATTTTTTTAGAGCTTTTCATTATAATAGAAAATTTTAATGTGACATTTTTTTTAGAGCTTTTTACTGTAAAAATTTAAAATTGAAAACTCAAATCGGTGAAATGAACGAGATATAATTACGATATTTTAAAGTAAATATTGTATTTTCTTATAAAAATAATATTTTTTTACTAAATTATGTGTAATCATGATATTCATAGATAAATATAATATTTTTTGATAAATAAATATGATATAATTTACTTATTTTTTTTATTTTTAAATATATATGCTATAATTTAGTAAGATAAAAAAATTATAACTTATTTATTTTAAAATAAGAGTGATAATTCGTGTCACCGTATTAGATTCATGTCGTGTTAGATTCCTTAGGTGGCATTATAAGTCTTGGCACAAATAAGATCTATTTAATAATGAGAAAATTACATAATTTATCTTTAAAGAGTGCATGAGTATGAGTCTGAATTTTTACTCCTCAATAAATACCTTTTTATTAGTATAATTATTTGACTAAAAAGTTTATGAGTTAAAAATAAATGGTAAAAATTTTAATTCATATTTTTAAAGATATTTGTCAAAATTACCCTTTAATAATAACGTCAAAATCTCAAACCCATCTAATTTGATAAATATTTTAATGAGCGATATTGTATTTAAAAAAGGAAATAAATAAAAATATAATATTTCCCTCATCCTGCATTCTATAATTGTTGCGGAATATGCGAGGCAGATTCGGAACCAACTATGGAACTAATGAAAAGTACTTCAAGTCTTAAGCTACTATAAAAAGGTCATATTCGTTGTTACTTTGACACCACCGAAAGCGCACAATCAATGGTCGCTGCTGCCCTAGCTATTTCCCCTAATATTCCCTTAGTTTTCACCTTCATATTTGAGAACTATCCCCAACTTAATTTTGTTTCCCCTCTCTAAATCGGTAGAAATATACTCAAAACAACTTTTTTTCTTTTGGTGTCAATACTCAATGGTGCAAGGATTTAATTTGTCGAAGAAGAATTATTCATTAGCAGGCTGAGTATATCACATCAGTAGAAGATACGACGAGTTCAATTCTCCTGACGTGGTATTCGCGGCCTACTAAAATAATTCTTCGGTCTCCTCAAGAGTTTTCCGATGATGACTGTTCAAAAAAGTAGAGATTGAAGATTGGATATGATGTTATGTATTAGTTTAAGATACGGTGGCATTACAGTATCAATATATATATATATATATATATATAAATTTTCATTTTTCAAATTACAAATTTTAATAATAAAGTTAACAGTCATGCTCTTTACGTAATGTGAGCCTGAGTTTTCTGCATATTTACACGCAGTTTTAAACTGGTATCAAATATTCAAATCCATAAAAAGGCAAACGCCAAACACCAACAACATCGGTCATGATTTTCTTCCTCCAACGACAATACTTTCCCAACACTTATAATTACCCTTGCGTGTACATTTCCGTCAAAATTTTTAAATGAAAGTTGACAAAATGTAATGAACTGCTAATTTTTTAATAAGAATTTGGAGATTATTAATTAATTGTAGAAAGAGACAGAGATAAAATTGTCACTCCAAAAATGTTTGAAAGCGAAAAACTTTTATAATTTTTTTTATAAAAAAAAGTAAAGTAGGTATACACAACACACCTAAGAAAAAGTGCTACAAATCCTTTTTTTTCCTAGGTGGGATAATATGGTATGGGGTAATTTGGTAATTATGTAGAATTATGGTTTAATACGACACCGTTTAAGGGTAGTAGGTACACACCTAACACCATATCCAGTAAAACCCATATTTCTCCCGTTTGTTGCGTTTTCTCTGTCTCTGTCGTGCCCATTGGTTTTGGTGAAACCGAGGAAAATATAGAACATAACCAAACCAAACCAATTTTCCTTAATTTTTGCTCTTCTTTCTATCTACCCAGCAACCCATTTCAATAGAGGTGAAAAAAAAAAAAAAAAAAAAAAAAAAAAAAAAAACCAACTTTTATTAGGATTTCATGGAGTTCTTAGAGTCAGTAGATCCGCAGATTCTTGTGGGTGCTGCTGTAGCTATTGTTGCTATTGGTGTTGGCGCTGCATTTCTCTTTTCATCAAGGAAGGCTAAAGGTTTGTGCTTGGTTTGGAAAATTAAGGTTTTGGGTCATTTGTATTTCTTTTCAAATGTTCCTTTACTTTTTGCTTATTGACAATTGATGATATATGTGTGTGAGCAGCTATCGTCGTGATATGTTATCTGGGCATGCCATCTTATGATTCTGTGTGTGTGTGTTGGTTTTTTTTTTATATATATTCTTTAATTTTTTAAATAATAATAACTGTGCTAAAATACATGTTGATTCTCCATGTATTCTTTGATTTGATTTTATTTTTTCTGGGCTAATACAGATATAGTTATTAAACTGAAATCCAATGATGAAAAAAGAATGTTCATGAATGAATCTGTGGTTTGTGAGAAAACTTGAAATAAGATTTGTCTGTAAAGATGTTTTTTATCAAGCTTTTGGTAAAATATAAAGCGGAAGCGTTATCCAAGTGCAATCTCTACACATTAATTTGGTCAATGCTTGTGTTTGATGGCTTCCTTGTAAGCCATGTTTGTTGTGCTACCAATTGTTTAATACTTGATTAGTTTCTTAGTCAAAAATTCTGCGCTGAACCAAGCTGAAGTTGCAATAGTTAGCACTCTAGCATTCGTTAAAATCTCTGTGTCGATAATCATCTATCATATAGATTTCTCGGAGATTATCTCACTTGTTTCATTATTCTTATTTTATTTGCCCGGTTTCTATAAATTGTGTTCTTGTTTTGCACTTTTTGATGTCAATAAATCTGTAATTTACATCATGTCTTGTTGTTTGAGTAGGATGCTTGGACCCTGAAAATTTCAAGGAGTTTAAACTCGTTAAGCGCACTCAACTCAGCCATAATGTGGCCAAGTTCACATTTGAACTCCCTACACCAACTTCAATTTTGGGACTTCCAATTGGGCAACACATAAGCTGCAGGTTCGATTCATTGTTTTGCACCTTGTTTCGTCTTCCCATGGTGGATATTTGAAATGGTCATTGTAGGCACAAATTCTATTAGATGATAATTAGTTTACTTTACCCCTTTTTTTGTGCATTGTTTGAACCATTGCCTCAAGCTACTTTCTTATATAGGGGCAAGGATAGCCAAGGTGAAGAAGTTATCAAGCCTTACACTCCTACTACTTTGGATTCGGATGTTGGACACTTTGAACTAGTTATAAAGGTACTGAATTCTTTGGGTAGTGTATGGAAACACATGGAAATGGGAAGCATATAGAATTTAATTTCATTATGCAGCATTTCTGGCTATATGGCATTGGACTAAATTTTGATTTTGAATTTCTATAGATGTATCCTCAAGGAAGGATGTCACATCATTTTCGTGAGATGCGTGTTGGTGACTATCTTGCTGTAAAGGGACCCAAGGTAAAGATTAATTATTTGATTTTTTATTTGTGTAGTTCCCTATAGTTCCATTTCCTTGAGCCTGCGAGCCTGATGTTAGATTTTGTTTTTGTTCCCACAAGTTGTTTCGAATCTTCCTACTGCTAAAACTGTTAATCCTTGCATTGTGGAATAGAATTATAGAAGTTGTTAAAAATGCAATATTGTGAAAGTGCACCTACAACTTAAGTAGAGAATTCTATCCATAGACTTAAATTTGTATAAGAGATTCAAAAACCAATGATGGCGGATGTTGTTTGATAGTTGAAGTGCCACATCTTTTGTTTCTGAATAATGTTTTGAGACATGATCTGTGCATTAAAAGTATAACTAGCGGTAGCAAAAGCGATGCAACATATCATTTACCAAGTATGATTTTCAAATGGGGAATATAAATTATTTTTTCCCCACTATGATTTTTAGTATTGGAGAATGGAAAGCAGCAATGATCATACAATTAAGTCTTAGCTTAGATAATTAACTCGTGAACCGAAACATGGGCTGGCTATATGCTATCTACCCTCTGAAGTTCTTTACTAATGCCTGAGAAAATATTTTCTGCAAGTATTTCTAGTACAATAATCTTGAATTTATACAATGAGATCATATCTTTTTAGTGTTGCTTTGACATGTTACTGCTACCAGGGCCGTTTCAGATATACACCTGGTCAAGTCAGAGCATTCGGGATGCTTGCTGGAGGCTCTGGCATTACTCCAATGTATCAAGTATGTACTTGGGGAACGTATTTTGATACATATGCATGATTTTGTCTCTTTTGAGATCTTAGCTTAATTGATTGACGATGTTTTCCTCATTTATGTTCCTGCTTTAGGTTGCTAGAGCAATTTTAGAAAATCCTAAGGACCAAACAAAGGTGCATCTTATTTATGCCAATGTTACGTATGAGGATATACTTTTGAAGGTAATTCCCCTGTGCTTTTTTCCTTAATTTCGTGGTGAAATTTTATAATATAATGACTAGACAAATAAGAAGTAAGAAGAATGTTTGGAGTAATTCGTATTTGAATATTCACTTTATGTAATTTGATCAGTTATCAAACTAATCCAATTTGGGGAAAAAAAAAATGTGCAGGAAGAGTTGGATGGTCTAGCTACTAACTACCCTGATCAATTTAAAGTGTACTTTGTCTTGAATCAGGTTCGTAACGTTTCCTTTTGCATCATTTACTGACTTATTTTTCTCTAAATACTTTTTATTGCCTTTCTCTTCATTGTTAGACACTTTTCTTTTTCTTTTTCCTGGAAAGTATCATATCGTTCCTTGAAAATTAAAATGTGATCAAATTTAAGTGTTCTTTACAACTTGAGAGGATCATTATGGATTAAAAATATCTGTCATTTAAGAATAGTAAATTGGTAATTAACAAGAAATTGATCACTAATATCCCCCGTCCATATTAGAGTATAAGATATGAAGGTCTTGAGACTTCACATAGAACATTAAAAGGTGAATGTTGACCAAGAAACGTGAATTTTAATTTCATCTGTGGAAACTGTTGAATGAAATTGAAAGTGGGGCTATAATCAAGGTGTTTTCCATGAGAATTACAACCGATAAATCACACAGGCAATACACTTTGGAAGTATTCTTCTAATTACTGCGTGAAAAATTCCGTAAGACAATCTCTCACTTAAAATGTTCCTGTAAAAAAGAAAAAGAAAAGACATTAAAATCTATTTGGACGTAAGCTCCCCACGTATATTTTACGAGTTTTTCCTTGTGCTATATCAAAAGTTTATATGCCGCTTTCTTATGTATATTCTGTTGTTGATAAAGGTTCAACTCTTGCATATTTTTCCAAATATTCTTCACACCATGGATGAATTCCCAAAGGAAGTTGTTTCTCCTGTATTGTGTTAGCAATGTTATCTTGCTAGATATTTCATCCGGATAGGTAACACTTAATTGTAAGGTTCTCTAGTGCTTTGAGCTGAAAAGGGCACAAGAAAATTTCTTCACTGCTACTTGCCTACTTCTCACATGTCATTAAACTGCTTAATCAGTGTCTGACTTGTTCTTTGTTGCTTCGCATTCATGTCGGGACGTATTGATCTTCCTTACCTTCACCTTTGTTTATGGTCACTGTTTTTTGTGGTCCGACACATCGAATGGAATGCTTACTTGTGTTATGTTTTCTTTACTCAGCCTCCAGAAGGATGGAATGGTGGTGTTGGCTTTGTATCAAAGGAAATTATTCAAACCCATTGTCCTGCACCAGCACCCGATGTTCAGGTATATTCTTTATTGGTCTGTTTGGTTCATAGGTTTGAACAAAAATGTTTAAACAAAAATTTGAATTTTACGATAGAAAACACTGTAGCAAAAAGGTTTGAACAGTAATTCGAACCTATGAAACAAACGGATGCTACATTTTTCACTTGTGAAAATGTATTATCCTGAATCTTGCCCACCGATTTCGTTGATTACTGATTTTGGTCTCGGTTTATCTGCAGGTTTTGAGGTGTGGTCCGCCGCCAATGAACAAGGCTATGGCCGGTCACCTCAATGACATTGGTTATGCTCCTGAGATGCAGTTCCAGTTCTGATCCTCTCGTCTACGCATACTTTCAGCACTTGACCAAGCTTTCTCTTTTCTCATTCCGAGCAAAGAACAAGTTGTCGTCTTTGTTAATTTCGTCTCATATTGAGCGCCATTAGACATTGGAGCCTACTTGAATAATAATTGTTGTACGATAATTTTACATGTAGTGCTACATCTTTGGTTGGACATCACCTTGAACTTCTATTTTCCTTAAATCTTGTGTAGCGAGGTGGGAAAAGAATTTTTCTTTTTTTCTTAGGCTGGCTTTGCATTTTCCTATTTTTTTGACTTCAAATGTGAGGAAGTAAAGCAAGCTAATACAGTTGATAGAAAAAGAGTAATAGATGCTTTCTGACTAGGAGATGCTTAAAAATATAAAAGTGCTTTTAGAGGAACCGTCGATATTAAACATCACAAGTAATAATAGAAGGAATGTTTCGTTTGCAGGATTCATATTTTTTATTAGTTTGTGGTGCTTAACAGATCACTTTTGTCGTCTAGCATTGTTTTACATACACAAATATAGCGATATCTGATATGGACATGATGATACAAAACTTAACATTACTAGTTCCCCAAATTTAAACTCTACCTTGCTATTTTTCTTTTTTCTTTGTATTCATTTATCTTTTATTTTAATTTGATTTGAATATTGGATTGTGGATTTTGACTATAAAAAAAAAATGAATAAACACGCATTTAAAGCTTTGACCATATGTCATATTTATTCTCTCTCCCCCAATATTTTTTTTTTTAAATTAAAAAAACTATCACCATAAAGGAGTTGAAAAACAATCCTAACTAGCCAAAATGATAAAAATGCTAAGAATGTTTTCAATAATAAACATCTAAGTATTATCAAGCACAAAATATTTCCCTTAAAAAAGCAGTTTTTTTTTTAAAGAAATAAAAATAATTTTAAGCTAAAAACAGAAAAAGAAAAAAAAACCAAATTGAAAAAAGCAAATATTACTAAAAAATGACAAGAAAAAGTAACACAAAAAGCTGTTTTAGTTTCTAATTGCTAAAAAGTTGAATAAAAAATTTTAAAACAAAAAAGAAAACACAGTTTTTTTTAAGTTTTTTTCTTTTAAATTTTAGGTTTTTTTTTATTCTCTTGCTTAATGTTGAAATAATAAATAATAACAATTATTGCAACTAATCTGGATACTTAAAATTTGACGTAAAACGTGGACACGATATTATTTTTAGCTTGTTAAAAAAAACACACGGGATAAATGTGGTACATTTAGGGAATGAGAAGGGGTAAAAGTGATATTTCGAGTAAAAATGAAGGGTGTTTAGGGTACTTAAAATGCTTATCATACTTAAATGGGAGAGGAGGGGTAAAAGTGAGATTTCGAGTAAAAATGAAAGGTGTTTAGGGTACATAAAACGCTTATCATACTTAAATGGGCCAAACTTACCGGGCCTCGGTCCGGTCCATAGAGAAATTCAGTCGCTCTAGAAAGGGAAGACCATCTGGCTTTTACGTCCCCAAGCTGTTTTCCGTTTCGCCAAAACCTTTCTTTCTTTCTTACTTGTTTGGATTTTCAGTTTTGCTTTTCGCTTCGCACTCCAAAACTCAACTGAATATGGGTGTTACCAAGGACCAGTTGCTCTCCCGTTTACAGGTTTGCCAAACAAACCTTTTTCAAATTCCCCAGTTCGTTTTGCTCACTGGGTTTTCTTTTTCTTTCTCTTTGGTAATCTGATTCCATGGAGTCTTTATTTCGCAATGTTCAATGTCATAACTAACGAAATTATGGTTCTTATTCTGCTTTAAATGTCCTTCATATTTTTGTTGTCAGACCTAGAAGAAGTGAATGAATAATTGTGAAAAATATTACAATTTTATGCTTTTTGTTCCGCCCATCAATTGAAATAGAATCGACTTCAAGAAGCAAATTCTTGTTTTATTCGGTGTACATTATTATTATTAATATTTATATATTTATTATTATTATTATTATTATTATTATTATTATTATTATTATTATTTCTGAGTTTCTTCAGTTTGAAGATATGATCATGTATGGATTAAGTTATGCCGGATTTTGTTGAAGCTTCTAGATTTTTTGTTGAGCATTAAATCCAAATGGAACTGATACGAAGTTATAATATCAGTGCATAGAATTTTTTTTTTTTTTCTATTTATTTGAAAAGTAATGTCTTTCCGTTTAACTATTTAGGAGCTTCAAATCGATTATTCAAAGTTTGAGCATCCTGTGGTTTTAACGGTTGAAGCTCAGGTAAGTGAGTGAAGCTCTGAAGATATGTATAGAGCGGACTGTTATATTACTATATGCGTTAGGCACTTACAGTCCGACCAAAGAACTCCGTTCCTGTTCGTGCTGTGTAATGTTTTTTCAGGAGTTGGATGATGGTAAAAAAAGATCTCAACCGTTCGAAATTTTCTGCGTCTGAGAGGAGCAGCCTCAATTTTAACGGCCCAGATTAATTTTTTCCATCATCCGGCGCCTAACAATTGCTTGCACAGTTCGACCAGAAAAAGGCTGGTCGTACGGTAGTTCTGGTCTATATTGTACTCTTTAACTAATTATCTGTTTTGTATTCTGATGTAAGAATCTGTCTTTTTAATCAGGCGGAACATGTTGGGGATTTGGGAGGTGGACTGAGTAAGAATTTATTCTTGAAGGTAAGGCGCCTCAAATCTTGAAAACCAGCTTTTCCATTTGAGAGCTACTAAACTTGATGTTTTACTTTTTCCTTATAATTCTCGTATGTCAATTGGGCAACACCAACTGTTGCTTTTATGTAGGATAAGAAAAGTAGATTCTACATTGTTTCTGTGTTGGCGGATACTAAAGTAGATCTAAAAGGTATGCACTTTTTGAAATATAAGCGATGTCAAAGCAACTACTTCTAAATGGTTTTCAGACATTTGTATCATCTTCTAATTTTTATGAGTGCTACGTGTGGCATTAAAAATGATCGAGCAGTATTATCGGCAAGGCTTGGTTTGGGAAAAGGGGGTCTGAGGATGGCTCCTGAAGAAGCGCTAGGAGAAATACTTCAGGTTTGTGTTTGCCGTGAATCCGCTTTTGTCTGAATGTATCATTTTGGACCATCTGGCATTGTAACATTTTCTTGAATGCGTATGCATATCGTATATTGGTATAAACTACTAAGTGCTTGTCTCAATTGTGATTTATGGCTCTTTATAAAAGATCCAATAAGAATAAACTTTATATGTGCAAACCGTGAGGAACCATGAATCATAATCTAATTGTTGGTTGGTCTTTTGTTTGCAAGGTTCCATTGGGTTGTGTTACACCATTCGCATTGGTGAATGAATCAGCACGGTAGTAATCTTTATTTCTGACATGAAACCATTGTTTATCGCTCATTTTGCTATTTCATTTGCACATATTGTTATTTTATTTTTATTTTTATTGTTTTAGTTTCAACTTAGAATTACATGTTTTCCCTCTTAGTGACTCAACTTCTTTCAGTTCTTTCTTACCTTGTCATTGACTAATAGACATTGTGCAGTGTATAAAATGGTATTATGATACTATTTGTACAAGTCTAATTTTCTGAATTACGATATCAATTTGCTCAGAAAAAGAAAAGGTTATGTATCTCCATGGGATATGTATCACCAAATAATGTGTATATACTTATTGTGCTCCTCTTCGTGAGTTCTCATCAGTTACTGTTTATCTTCTATTATTGTGTAGACATGTATCTCTATTGTTGGATCAGGGCTTTAAAAGTCAGGAGCGCTGTTTTTTCCACCCATTGTCAAATGACGTTACAATCTGTAAGTGTGAAGGTTCTGACTGTTTCTTTTGTACATTTTTTTACTTTCATTTACTCACTCTTCTCCTGAACTTTTTGGTGCTTTTTAACTGTCTGCTGCTGTAATCTACCGAGCCTTGTTTGCATTATGCAGAGTTTTCATATTCTTAATCTCGATGCTTTCAAACCTCTTTCACCTTTCTTATGAGTAGTCCCTGATCCAACATATCTATTGTTGCTTCTAGCTCTTAAGGCCTCTGATCTTGACAAGTTTCTTAAATCAATTGGGAGAGACCCTGCATACGTGGACTTGGAGGTGATTAAGATTTAAGAAGTCTCTTTGGTAAATTTAATTAGCACTGGAATATTTCTGGAAGTGTAATTTAGTTTCTTGCAGGCAAACCCTTCCGTGGGAAAGGATCAACCTCCTGATCTTGCTTCCTTTGTCCCCTCTGGTTCAATAGCTATTCCAGATCCTACAGAAAATTCAACTCCCTCAAAGGGCCCTTCTGAGAAGTCTGTTGCCTCTACAGATATCAAGTCCACAAAAATTACTGGTAAAACTCTGCCTGTTCAATAGTTAAATTGTTTTGACTCGGTGTTATCTAGTTAGATTTTAGAAGATAATAAAATGAACCCCAACACCAGTAGTGTTGTGGCCTAGTGGCATTAGGTTCCCTACAAAATGCAGGAGTTTAAAAGTCTCTGTTTATGTTTGGTGAGCAGGGATGGATTTTAGTAGAGAAGCGGCTTACCCGTTACTAAAGTTGGCAAACTTAGCACTTTTTTTTTTTTTTAGCATTTGCCATACTTTCTACTTGGTGCCCTCACTCTCTTTTGATAAGAGACGAATGAATTATTTAATTATCTTTTAATTTTCCATTGCAGCAAATGCATCAAAACCTTCATCTAGGGCACAAAATGCCAAGGATAAACCAGTCAAAGACGTCAATCCCTCTGGCTTAACAGCAAACGTTGAGAGATTTGTGGAAGAGATATTGGATAAAACATCCGCACTTTTGCTTTCACAGGTAGCTGATGCTTTGTTTGGTTTTGAGCACTTTACCTCCCTGAATGTTTCATGCTTTAACAAATCTTGAACTTTTAATTTTGGTACTTAACCTCCTCAACTTGTCAATCCCTGACCCAAATTGATTCGTCGTATTTACTGGTGATGGAAATCATTGCGTTTTTGGCACTTTACACCCCTGAACTTCTCTTTGCTTAGGCCTTGGACTTTTAAGTTTGGTAACTAGCCCCCTTCTTTATGTTACCAATTTATAGCCGGTATCAATTTTGGTTGCAGTTGTTTGACAAGATTTGGCGGTTTACTAAAATTTAAAAGTTCTGATGGCAATCTGCTATCAACCCTTGTTAATCCCGAGTCCAAATTAGTGTTGTTTCTATGTTTGGCTCACGGAATGTTTTTCTTTTTGGTCACAGATTACGGAAGAGACTATAAAGCAACACGGAGCACAGCTGGGGACGGTATTGTCAAATAGCATCAAGAGCTGTCTTAGCTCAGAGTTGAATAGCACCACTGTGAGTTTTTACTTCAAAATTCTTTAAGATGAAATCTTGCTCTATGAAGATGCAACAACTACTAATATTGTATGTTTCTCGTTTATTAATCTTGGAATTTATAAAAGAAAACTCTCCTTATTTTGACTACTTTTCTTTTGAAATGAGATCTCACCTTCAGTGAAATGGGTCCTATTATTACACCTTTGATTCTGAAACATTGCTGGTACAAAATCATCTTATAAACCGATAATTACAAATTCGTCTTCTTTGCAGATGACATTCAAGAACACGGCATACACCGAAGGATTTCATGCTGGTATTCACCATCATCCAAAGCCCAAATACTGATGACTGGTTTGGTTTTCTCTTTTCTGCCTCCTAAATAGAAGTGGGATAGGGAGTGAAAGGAAATTTTTTTTAAAAATGATGATCATTGTTCGTCCCATTTAAATAGATATAATGTGATAGGGTATGTCGTTTTTAAGACTGATCCTGTTCTCAATTATGCTGAGTGGGTTTATTTTGGTGTCGTCCGCTTTCTTAACAATGCTGCACAATGGCAACGCAACAACATTTGGATAGTGGATTTTGATAATTTTACTTGTTACCTTCTCATATATTTAACACGTGATTCCACCTTAAGATGAAAAGTTCGAATCCCTCCATCCCAAGTTCAAAAAGTATCACCATTCAGCCTTTAAAACAAAAATTGCATTGCATTTTCCATTTGAGTAATAATAAAGCGTCTTAAACTAGCGTACCTACTAGCTCTACTAAGCATAAAAAAAAAAAATCTTGGATTGATTTGTTTTTGGCCAGAGTTAAATTGCTTTTGTACGTAAGGAGATAATATATTTATCAATTAAAATTAACAACTGAATTAGAACATAAAATTTGGTAGATAAAACTCGAAACCTTTGCGCTATCTAACAGATACATTTGCAACCTTACTGGAGTCAACATTTGAATTTTATTTAACACCATTGCTTTCCAGAAACATATCTCGCAAGAATGTCTTATCTCTTTCTTACTTTCAGTTTCTTTTTGGATTAATTCAAGACTTATTGGCCTTTTAAGGGAACATATTTGCGTGTTTATTCATAATACATTGTAGATTAATGCAGAAGTCTCTCCACAATGGAAATAGGGCGTTTTTTGGCCAAATGTTATTTCTTACATAAACAGATGAGAAAAGCCACAGAAACTCTTTTTTTTTTTTTTCCATGTTATTTTTTACAGAACCAACCTATACATCCTGCAAAAGGCAAACATTGTGCATTCTAGTTAGTAGAGAATTCAAAATAAGATTCCCAAGTCCAAATAGATTTTTGAAAATTTGGTCAAGGCAAAATGATTTTCAATTATTGATGGCACAGTGTATAATAAATTTACTAAACTATCCAACTCTATTATGAATTGAGGATGTAATAATTTACTAAAAGAAAAAATATATATATTTCACGAATAACATTCTTAAGTTTTGATTATTTTTATTTTGCCACTGTCGTGTCAGATTATTCATAACCATAATAATGACATGCGGCGATTACTGTTTTGAGAATAACACAAAAGAAAATAATCAAAACTAACATTATCAATGAAATACTTTTTATTTTTATTCCTATATAAAAAATCGACCCTATAATTTAAAGTGACATATTTATTCAATTCTATGGGTGTGATTTTAATGGCTATTTTAATATTTATCCATCAATGGGTATTAATTTTTTAACTGTAAGATATTAATCCAACGGTTATAATAAATTAGACAGTTGACTGAAAAAAAATTTATGATAATTAATGGAATTGAATTCTTATCGCGTCAGGTTATTAAATTTTTATATTTAGTTGTGATCATCGATGGAAACGTAACTATTGAAAACTCGTTCATTTATTCTATAACTTGTTCAAGAAAATAGAAAGGGAAATTACACAGCACGTACCAAATTACTCCATACATCTGATTCCACAGCAATCCCCCATGGCGCCAGTTAGTTTACACACAGTTAAAATCCTATAGAGAGCAAAAGATTTTCAACAATAAAAAGTCCATGTGAAATGTCTTCCACCATATTAAATCAGCATCATGTATGGTGTAAGTGGTAATTAGAGAATGAAGCAAGAATGCCACCATGAGTTGGCTGTTGAAACAAACAAGAGCAATATAAATAACACAAAGCCTAATCAGTAGTAAACAACTATTTAATTTTCGAGCTTTTATACTTTTTTAAAAAAATAATAAAAATAAACTATAAACGTTTGGACAGTTAAATCCATAAATCTAGTTTGATGTTTAGTATCGCTTTAATCTGAAAATAGTATCACGTATCTCATTTTTAAATTCAATTTTTGTGACAAATTTAAATTTAATTACGCCCCCCTTATTTCTTTCACAATTTTTCTCGATCTATGTTCTCCATGGATTAAATTTTAAGCTCCAGCCCTGAATTTATATTATACAAAAATTAGTATTAAGCCATGGCCACCGCATGATTTTTCTCTTTTACTCTTTAATCTTAACAGAATTGGTTAGTTGTATTTCAACTTTTAATTGTGACAAATTAGAATATAATACCAAAGAGTACTCATAAACGAAATGAACGATATTAAAATCGCAATTTAAAATTCCAATCTCTTCTTTCAAATGAGCTCACGTGAGCGTTTATGTTCCAAATTTAAACAATCGTCGTCCATTTATTGCACTCTATAAAATTTTGTAAAATTTTATAAAAGAAAAATCTGCCAAAAATAAGCAAACAAACGAACAAGAGAATTAAAGCAATTTGTAAAAACTAACCAGGTCGAGAGGTGGAGTTATGATCGTCGTCACCCTCCGGAGCAATTTGTCGATATCTCGGCCGAAAAGGCCAAAGAGACAACAACCGATTCCACCGCGACCACCGCCGGTTTGCGCTTCGACCGCCGGAGCTAACCGGCAACTCCTTCCGACAAACGGGACAGGAGTTGTGAAGCCTCAGCCACGGCACAATGCAGTCCGAATGGTAGATATGCTTGCACGGCAGCTCCCTCGCCTCGCCGCCCACCTCGAACTCCTCCTTACAGACCGGGCAGTACTCCGAGTCGTTTTTCAAATGCGATTCCGTTATCTTCACCGTCGGAATCGCGCTTATCACCACCTCCGGCACCGGCGCAGGCCCCTGCCGGTCGTTCTGCGTCAGCTCCTCGATCAATTCGTTCAGCCCCGGCCCCCAAAAGTAGTCCCGGACATTGACCCTCGGCGGCGGCGCCGAATCATCCGATGACCGGAAAATCGGTGCAAACGGGCTGGCCGGGTCTAAAGGCCGGAGAATAATCCAAGTCCGGGACCCGTTTCTAGTTCCGTCAGCAGGCTCCGGTTCAGCGGAGATTTCGGTTCCGTCAAAGCTTCGGCTCCGGCGTTGTCGCCGTCTCGGATGAGTTTCCGATTCCGTGGGGTGCAAGGTATCGGACCGTTCTGGTACTTGGTGGATGCCGGGGAGTCGCCGGAGCCAGGGGAAGGTTTGGGGATCGGATTCATTCTGGTAGTGTGAATCGGGGTTGAAGCGGCGGATAGGCGGGTCGAGCATGAGGGAGAGAGCTTCGAGAAGACGGGCTCCCGGCGAGGGATCGAAGCCGGCGTAATCGATGAGGAGATTAGGCCTTTGGAGGTCGATTTCACGGACAAATTGCCCGAAACAACGCGGGCAGGCGATGTTGGAAGGGTTCGAGGAAGGCGCAATCCTGACCGTCCGCTGGCACTGGTAGCACCAGTAAGGCTGGTACGTTCTTTCGCCGCCATTGTTCCCGGCAATAGGTAGTGAAGTTAGATTTTCCGACATGGATTGATTCAAATGGTTTGGTTTTCGGAGTTTTGTCTCAATTTCTTTGTGTATTTATAAAGAAGAATTTTTTCCTTTTCGAGAAAAAAAAAAAGGGAAAGTGTTTGATTCAAAGATGAAGAAAAGGCAAGGATCTTTGTGTTTGGATTGAAGAGCTTTTGAGGTGGTTTTTATGGGTTTTGGAGTTTTTTGAGTTTTCGTTGTGAGGAAGGAAAGGATGAGTGGGGATTGGTGCAAAAGATTATTAATGAGAGAAGTTGTGTGAAAATTTGAATTTGGAGGGAATATTTGTATTAACGGCTAACTTTTCGGGGAAGTCAATGTTAGCATATCTTTAGTTTTCAGTTTTGCTTTTCCATAAAACAGAGAATGAGTATTGAGTAAACATGTTAGTTTTCGCTTGTTGTTAATAACAAATTTTGATTAAATCACGTTTGATTTTTCATTGAGCCACCATGCTAAGGGCCTGTTTAGTTCGCTGATTCGAGTTTTTAATTCGAGTTAAGATGTGATTTTATGTGAGAGCTTTTTACTGTAAAAAAAAAGTTAGATGTGATTGTTTGTGAGAGCTTTTTACTGTAGCAAAACTTAAATTCTAAACTCGAATCAGTGAAATGAACAGGGCCTAAGTTTTTAGGCTGTACTGAACCCTTTTTTTTTTTAATTAAATGATGAGAAAGGACGACCAACATTAACATGGTTAAAGACATTCCAACTATGTTAATACTCTTTTAACTACACATCATACCAAACTCTTGACTCTAATTTATTGTTTAAAAGAAAAAAAGAAGTCTTTTTTCCAAGCAAAAGCAAAACAAAAGAACACACAAGGATGTCGAAAATAAACAAACTTGTACACATGCAAGATAAAAAAAAAAAGAAAAAGAAAATAATAATAAACACTCAAGAATGCATTTTTATATAATAGACACTCAGTAATAATAATAAACACTCAAGTTGCGCCATCGATATTGATTTTAATCTAGTAATCTTAGAGGCCTCAGGAACACGACCTTTCAACTTGTAACTTCTAAAAATGGTTAATAAGAAAAATAATTGTCGTGTTTGGAATTGATCTCGTTTTTATTTTTCACGTTTTTTGAGAAAAAAATGAAAAATATTTTCAAAACGGCATTTGGCGTAATAAAGATAAAAAACGGAAATGAAAATGATTTTTTTCATTTTTTGTTTTCGTTTTCTCCTCTCTCGAGCAGAGAGAGACATTAATGAGTTTTTTTATACTGAAAACAATCTATTGATAAAACTACCAAACACATTTTCAAAAATAATTTCTATCTGAGATTGAAAAAATTTTCATTTTTATTTTCATACAAAAAATAAAATCATTTTGGAACGAGTTTCAAACGAGCCCATAAACACTCAAGAATGCATTTTTATATAATAGACACTCAAGAATGCAATTGTGTAATGTGTATTCGTATTTGTTAAAAAAAAAAAAAAACCAAAGTCATTTCATAAACTCATTTTCCGTTAATTAAGGTGATTAAATTTGTGTCGTTTTCGAGTTGTGTCGTCGTGTCGTGACCCATATTGTCGGCCCTAGTTAGTAGCGCACTTTTAAAAATTTTATAATTTTATTTTTCCTTTTCTCTATGAAGAAAATAAGGAACTTTAGACCTTTTAGTCTTCTGCAATTTTTTTATCTAGTATTTTGCATCTTAGTATTAAAAAAGAGAAAGTGAGTGCAAAAATCATGCAGTGTAGTGCTGAAAGAAGAGATAAATACTCATGCTCCCTTATTAAAGGGGCATTACTCAAAATTTTCCTCTTCATTTCACTTCGAAATTTTATAGCATCACCTGTTTTGTGCATCCAAATTAGAAGATGTCAAAATGATTAGGACTTGATGAAGCGGCACACCAAGTGGTAGTGTACTAACCGAGAAATTAATTAGTATGAAACCCTGATATAAATAAAAATTTATACAACCCGTTCACTTCACCGATTCGAGTTTAGAATTCGAGTTTTGCTACAGTAAAAAGCTCTCAGAAACAATCACATCTAACTTTTTTGCTACAGTAAAAAACTCTCATATAAAGTCACATCTCAACTCGAATTAAAAACTCGAATCAGCGAATTAAATTTTTGTTAAGCCAATTTAGTTGTGATTATGGTTTGGATTAAATAAATTGTATCACATCTTTGCTAAATTCTAATTTTAATGACAAAGTAAATGTTGAAAATTCTTCAAGATTTAAACGATGAATTCCTTGTAGCTGTTGAATTATGTCAGCAATATTTTATGAAGATAATTGAAGAAGTTACTTCATTATGGTTATTGAAACTTTATTGGGAAAACTTCATTGCGTACGAATTTAAGAGTGAACATAACGAAATTTCAAAAAAACAGAGACTCCGGTAAATTTCAATATAAACGTACGATGTAGAAGAGGAATTTATAAGATTAAAATTGAAATCACAGATTTCCGTCAAAATGACGAGTTGTCGAGAGACCAAAATAATTAATCTGAAAGTTCGCGATTAATTATGAAGCCACTTAGAAGTGTCAGTAGCAAATATGTCCCCGTTGCAACAACTTTAGTGACAGTGATCATGATTGTGCCACAGTCAATATTTTGATTAAACATAACCATGAAATTTAAGGTTTAAATGATAAGAGTTAAACAAGTCTTACACCACATTAGATGATCAATGGTTAAGATTGCATCTAGAGCAACAAAATGATGTGGAAATTTGGAATCAATGGATAAGATTTTAGCACTTAGAATATTCTAAGGATTTAGGAATCAATGGTGGACATCAAAAAAGAGGAATAAAAGTCAATGGTGGATATACTAGGTCACAAATCAAAGGTTAGGATTTAGAGAAGTTCAATCAAATGGTTAAGATGGAATAAGACAATTTTGGGGACCATTTCTAAAAGGGGGCTGATTTCTACAGCATTTTTGGGCCAAAGAAAGTTTGAAAACCTAAGCTAAAACATTAAACATGTACATGGAGCATGCATAAAGTAGGAAGAAGTGGTAGCACCAAAACAAGTAAAGATGGAGACATTTGGTTCATGTAACTTGACAAGTACATGTAAGAGCCTTAATGGCTCATGAAGGACACTTATGAGGACGTTTTTGCTGCTGGTTTTGGACCAGAAATTTGTCCAAAACAGTTCTTTCCAGTGACCAGCCACCAAAACGTCCGTTCTTGGTTAAGCTAACCTTTGAATATGACTCTTAAATTTTTAGGATAGAAACTAGACATTCTGATCTTTCCAGGAAGATATCATGTTTCTTCAAATTATTTTTGCACAATTAGTTATGAATTTTTAAAATCAGGGTTTTGAATCTGTAGATTCACAGTGTAACCTGAGGCTAAAGGCTCCAATTTTAAGAGACAGAAACCTTAGCTTGTAAAACTGCTTTAATAGGTAGAAATATGATATGTTAGAAGTACAATACCCAAATTTTAGAAGATTTGGAGTTAAGATAAATCCGGAACACTAATTTTAAGGTTAGTGGTTGAACCGATAAATGTAGGTGTAGAAATGTGAACTTAAGGAACTTAAATGATTAGCAGCCAAAATTTTGAACTCATGAACATCCTAAACCCTGTATGAGGGGTTATAAATGCGAAAAATAAATCCAAGTGTGAAGGAAACACCCTAATGGCATGTTTACTTATCCGTAATAGAGTGGACATGATTCGGAGTGAAAATGAATCGGAGTCAGAATAAGATGTTTACTTAGGTTCTAGGAATTGGAGTCGGATTCAGTCTCAATCCCATTTATTCGTTTACTTACACATAGAATCGGAATAAACTGTTATAAATTTACTTACCTGCCCTTTTAGTAGATTTTTGTGTGTTGAACTTTAAAAAAAAATTATATATTATGCTAACTATCTTAATATTAAGATAACTAATTAGTAATTAGATATTTTTAATCACGCCTAATTACACCTAGATTTTTTTAATTAATAATTAGAAATTGTAATGGTCTGGATCTCCACGAATCCTTGAAATGATGTTGTGCAATCAAGGGGCAAACATGGTTTGATAATAGATTTAACAAATAAACACAAAAAAAATAAAAATAAAAAAACAAACTTGCGATTCAATAAAAAAGAACCACAGTGATTTATGTTATTGACTCACCTTGAAGAGAAGACGGATGCTCTTGGTTGTTGTGGACGCAATGCTGTGTTTTGAGGAGAAGAAAATATCAGAGGAAGTGAGTAAGGAGATACGAGAGGCGTGAAAGTAAATTATGACATTTTTACTTTTTATTTTTCTATTCACAAATTTGTTAGTAGAATTAAGGGTTAAAATCGTAAATCATATTTACTATCAAGGTTGGGATTTGGGAGTGCTAATCCGGTGAGGGGTGGGGGGAATGTCAATCCCATTCTTCAACCCCAAAATGGTGTGGGACCCACACATTCTCACTCTCATTTCAAAATTAAAATAGGTAAGTAAATATGAGGTTGATTCAGACTCTCAATTCTCATTCCCCACTCCTGATAAGTAAACATGTCATAAGACTAAGACTAAGAGCCAAGAAAAGGGCAAAATTGTCCTTTTGACCTTAAATGGGGATAAAATGGTCATTTTGACTTAGGTCTGTAGTTTTAGGCTTTGGACCAGAGCATGAACTGATTCTAAGGTTAGAATAATAACCCAAAAGTTTGGGATAAATTGGATGTAAATTGGCCGATTATCTATGGTTACCAACCAATGGCCAAGCCCAATTTAAAATTTAATAATCTTATTGTCCCTTATGAGCCCCTCACGTCCAGCAAGCATAGGCCCATACCTTTCTTCATGGGCCAATGAGGTTAAAAGTTAGGAAAATAGTAGAAAATATGCCAAATATGAAAAACTTAAGAAAGTATATAGGCCAATTTTTAGTTATAGAAATTAATAGGTCATAACTTGTTAAGTTATGGTTTATAACCAGATAAGTTATGGATAAATTTATCAAGTTATGGTTCATAGTCAGAAAAGTTATGGACAATTATGGACAATAACTTGTCAAGTTATGGTTCATAACCAGAC